ATGTTGCTGCTGGGACGAGGCAGGACAGGAGCCCCAGAGCTGCTCCCAGCCCAATCCCAGTGGCACCAGTGCCCCATATCAAGGAGCCCCTGGACAACACATTGTCGCAGGTTGTCAGGTTGGATGCAAGGGGTCCTGCGCAGGGAGGGGTGGCAGAGCTCCCACGGACACAGCAGGGCTGCATGTCCCGACATGGGTACAGGCTCCTCCGTGCAGTGACAGCATTGCTCATGGCATAGTGCAGGGCCATGGCTGTGCCCTCTCTGGGTGGCAGTCTGAGTACCTCGGAGAGAGGCAGTGTCCTTACCCACATGCTGTCCCCTTGCAGCAGTGTGCAGGGACCTTGCCGGGCTCTGCCCGTGCCCAGCCTTGGGAACATTGCCCACTGGCTGTCACCACGCACAGACCCTGTGACACTGGGGATGCTTGGGTGCTGCAGGCATGCACTCTGCTGCCCACTCTGCTCATCCTCACCCCAGCTGGTGCTTCCAGGGAGGTCCCCTACTTCCCCCCGGTGTGGAGGACCACGCTTAGGTCTGGGATATACCTCGGTGGGGACAAACCCTGTGCCACCAGCTCCGTGCCCAGGGTACCTGGCGTAAGGGCCAGTGCATGTTGTACAAAGGCAGACTAGGGGTGGACTCTGCTCTGGTCTGAGGTTGGCACTGCCTAGGAGGACTGCCTGGAGCCTTTGCTAGACAGGGCCTTTGCCACTGCACTGTGGCTACTGTCCCTCAGTATAAGCAAGACCTGACACTACAATGATGGGCATGCTGTCAGAGGTCCTCTTTCCCATCTCTGCTCTAGACTGGATGATCCCACTGGGGCCTGGGGCAAGAGCAATCTCCCAGCCTGAGGCTCTCCCCTTGCAGGAGGCAGTGGCTCGGCTTCACAGACCCCTTGGTCCCACCCCAGCTCTGGCCAGCATAACTTTCGAGCGTTCATGGTCAGCAGGGCATCCCCCATCCCCCTGCTCCTTGTGGTAGCCTTTGCTGCTTCACGGAAAATGTGATGACTCGGCAGCCCCTGAGTTTCCAGGCCTGGTTCCAGCTGCTGGGTGGAGAAACCTTCTGCAGTTGTTTTTGGGTCTGGCACAACCAAAGGCTTCACTGTCGGGGGGACCAGAGGGGAGATCTGGCATCCCAGCTGACGGCAGGCTCTTTCTCTGTCCTTGCCTGTGGTGGCACAGTGTCAGTGGGGTGGCTGCGGGGAGGGTAGTGCTGGCATGTAATGAGCAGCTTCTTCTGTCCAGTATGGGAGGCTGCTGAGCCCTGCGGCGCCAGGGACAGGGCCTGGGTTTGGCTCCCACCAGCGCTTTGGGCTGTTTTCACTGCAGGCACAGCCCAAACTCCCTATGCTGAAGCAGCACAACTGCCGGGTCCCCAGGTTTAAATCAGTGGGGCTGGTATGGATGTGCCCTCATGGCCAGTGGGGTGCCAGCTCTGCATGCCCTGTGACAGGCCACCAGCAGCATGCAGAGGCTGGGAAAGCTGCTCGGACACCTCTGGGTGCATGCCCAGAGGTCAGTCCCATGCCGGTGGGCTGCAAGGCCTGGTGCTGAGGCTTCCCCCACAGCCCGTCCTCGTGCTGGGTGGGGGGTCTCCTCTCCTCCTGGATGGGGAGGTGTGGGGCAGTGGCACAGCATGGCAGGGGGCTCTGGGGGGTGAGAGGCACTGTGCTCCAGGAGTCCCTGCTAGGCTTCCCAGCCCAGAGACCAAGGAGAGCAGGACAGACCCTTTGGTCCCAGGGCAAGCCAATGCCTGGAGAAACTTCTTTGGTGGTGGAATTGTATCCCCACGCAGGGCCGTGGCAGCAGAAGTTGTTTTCCAAGAAGCTCTTGAGATGCCACATCCCACCTGCCTCCCTTGCAACTCCATCCCACTGAGTCAGGGTAACTGGAGATGGAGATGACCAGCTTTGCAAAGAGGCTGGTGGCAGGAGTGTTGGGGATGCAGGCAGGCAGGTGTAGCAAGTACATGCGGGCTCAGCTGCTCCCCAGCTGGGTAGGGCAGACTCAGCCCAGCTGGAGTTTCCCAGGACTCCAGTGAGTGGGTTTGTCCTCTTGCTGGCCTGGAGCTGCTCTTTGGTGTGCTTTGAAGCTGCAGGAGCCCCACCTTGACTCTGTAGCCTGGGAAAATCTCCTGTCTATCCCACTGCAGAGGACACTGCCTCCTGTCACCTGCCTCAGACACTGGGGGATGCAAAACCTCTTCCCAGGGATTTCCTTGATAATCAAGGGTCCCTCCTGCCCCATCCCCCCACATCACAATTCCCAGCCCACCAAGGCCCTCCATCCTAACCTCCTACCCCTGCTTCACCAGCCAGGGGCTCTTCCAGTTCAGCTCTGCCATCACCTGCCACGCTCCGGGGATCCCACGCGGTCCCATCTGCCTTGGCCTCCCCTGCCTGCTCTGTCTCTGTCCCAGCCATCCTGACCATCCAGGCTGCTCATGGCAGTGAACAGCCCCATACTCCCCATCCAATGTGGGGTCACCTCTCCCTGCGCTGCCATGGCAGGCAGCATTGCCTGACAGCCTGCACCCTGCTACGGACCCACATGGGGACATCCACCGAAAGCCTCTTTGCAAATGCATTTGTGGACCAGCCAGCTGTAACCCCCCAGATCCCACCCTGGGCCCCGGGTAAACCTGGCAAGCCCTCACTGCAGCAGGGAGCTCCAGCCTCCTCCCAGCTGGCTGCAGCTGTCCAGGTCTGGAAAGGGGTCTTTTAAAACAGTCCCCAGCCCACTGGAGACAGCAGCAGCCAGCCCCAAACCTTCCTCAGCCTTAGCTTGCGGAGGGGGACTCCCTCTCCAATCATCTGTGTCTGGAGGACATCACCTCCAGTATCCATGAGCACCCACCTTTCACTCAGCTTCTGGGGGGACGGCCAGCCCCCAGTCATGCTGACATCCGGCAGCAGGGATAGGTGTCCTCAGCTGTCTGCGGCACTGGTTGAAGGGCCATCCCCATCACCCCAGGTGCTGGTGGACCTCAGTCGCAAGCGCTTATCAGGGGATCCCTAAAAGCCAGAGCTTTTACCCTGGGTCTCCATCACTTAGGCAGATACACCACTTGCATTTTTGACATTCAGGCCTCCCCAGAGCTGCCAGTATTAAGGATGAAAAAGCTTGCCTGCACTGGAGCCAAGGTACTGCCTCTGCTCCCACCCTGATCTCCATGTCCAGGGTGCAGGGGGAGGGCAAGTCTGGGGACAGAGTGACTCGAAGGGCCTCTGGTTGTTGAGCTCTGTCTCTGTGTTGGGGGCATGTCTAAGTCCCTAACAGAGGAGACGAAGGTGACAAATAAGCCCTCACTGCTGGGCTGAGCAGCAGAGCCAGGGCTCCTTTACCCTCAGCTCGCTCCAGGCAGGGGACTAGACCTCTGCAGAGACGTGACTGTGACCACGGACCAGGACTCCTGGCACCAGTCCCATTTGGCCAGGACCTGGGGAATTAACTGTCCCCCATGCAAAGGGAAGGGGACTTATGTGCTCCGTCCCCTTTCCCAGCTGGCCCCTCAGCCTGGGGGCTGTCAGGTTTGGGGGAAGGACCTGGAGTTGGAGATGGGTCCCAGACTAGGGCCCTTGTGTCCTCCTCTCTTCTCATTTACGTGCAGGGGTTAGGGTTTTCCCATGTCTTTGCCCAGGCACTGGGGGCTGATCTGTCTGTCACAGGTCCCACCTGACAAACCTGTGAGTTTTTGGGGGAGAGAATCTGCTGTCCTGGGGCCAGCTGGGAGATGTGTCCCACTCTGACAGCTCGGTAGCTCACAGCAATAAGCAGAGCTCAAATAGCCCCCCTTGGTGGCCATGCTGGCTACTGGGACAGACTCCCACGGCCACACAGGCTGCGCTGGCTTCCGGGATAGATGCATCACTGAACCTCTTCCAGCACTGTCCCAGATCTCCAGCGCTGATGTGAAGCTAATGGCATCTCTGCTCTGAATCAGAGCTGGCATCCTGCCACGCATTGCACAGACACAGCACAGCACCACACAACACATGGCCCTGCACACAGCTCAGGGGGCACAGTGTGCTCCCCATGGCAGCACCATAGAGTACAACTCCTACAACCCATAAGCAGACAGGGCACAGCTCAGACCCAGCCAACCCCTCAAATGGGCAAAGGACGGTCCAGGCATCTTTGCGCCTGTAGGATGCAGTGCACAGGAACCTCTCACAATACGTGCACACACCCCCCAGCTCCGATCTGCCTGCCCCTGTGCCGTGGGCATCACACAGAGGCACACGTCTCCCTCCTCGCCCAGCGTGATCAAACCTCCCACTCCCCATCAGCACCCCGTGCAGAAATGCATTCATACAGAGCTAAAGGGTGCACGAACGTGCCGGGCACAAAGACAGCCGCAAGGTTGGATCCACACGCGTGCCAAGTCTTCCTCCCGCATCCAAGCCCAGCTGCCAGAGCCTGCGGTCCGCCCTTCCTCCCCTTGCTGGGGGCTGGTTTCGGCACTCCCTTCCAGCTCAGAGCCGCCATCTGTCCTGTCCTGTCTCCTCCCCTCTCCTCCCCTCTCGGCACCAACTCCCACAACTCTGCAGAACTCCTTCTGATGGCCAGACCGGGCTCCAGCCGTGCAGAGACCCAGCCACAACGAGAGCCCCCCCTCCAAGCCCCCCGGCAAGCAGCTCTCTGGCCGCAGCACGCACACACAAGGACAGCTGCAGAGTCACCGCAGAGGGACACAGATCCGCGGGAACAATAGCAAATGCACACAGCAAGAGGCACACAAACACACTGGACTTCTCCCAGCCCGGAGGCACGCTCTGCTCCTGCCCAAGTACAGCTGGTAGGGCTGATGTGCAACGCGCTGGCATGCAACGCAGGTCCCCACTGATGTCATCCTGTCACCAGCGCTTGGAAAGCATGTGGGGACACAGCCCTTCGCTGCCATGGGAGAAGGGGCTGGCTGGGGACAGCCACTGCTAAGGAGCTACCCCCCCCCAACTTGTCATCCCTCTAATCTGCAGCCACCCTGGTCCCAATGAGACCACCGCTGCTGCTGCTGCTGCTGCTGCTGCTTGTCCCATGGGTGCCGCGGCTCCTGGGAACCCTGGCTGAGGTAAGCCCTTGTCTCTTCAACCCCCCCCCTTTGTCGATGCAGGCTCTTGGCTGCAGGCTCCCTGGCAGCAAGGGGCTTTGCATAGTCCTACCCCACTGAGGAATGACGGCATATTTCTGGGCTGCCTCTCCAGCCATGCAGCTGCACCAAATTAGCGACGTTTGCAATTACAAGCTGGCTCTTTCCTCCTCTTCCCCCCCCACACCCTGCCATGCCCTCCCACCCCAGCAACTGGGATCAGAGCGTGTTACTGCTGTCATGGCTGCACAGCTCCTCGCCCCAGGAATCGGCTGGCTGCTACTCCCAGGGGTCCGGAGCCCCTTTGCTCCCCTCCACGCATGCACTCCCTAAAGCACCGCAGTTGGTGGGGGAGCCAGCAATGAGTCAGCCAGCAGAGCCAAGGGGGAAATAACTAAAGAAAGATGATTGCTCCTCTGAGGCTTGTTGCGGGACAGGGAGTGGGCAGAGATATTTCCTTTAATGTGGAGGGAACTAGCCTCAACCTAAAGCAGGGCACACCCTGCTCGCAAGCAGACTGTGGGGAGACGGGTGTCCCACGAGCATGCTCAGCGCTCGCTGTGGTGTGGAGGGTGCTGGATGCTCTGGAGCTCTCAGGCCAAGCCTTCTCTTTGCAGCCTGTGGGGGATGGCAGCTGGACTGAGGTCTGGGGTCCCTCCATCCTCCCCCCGTCATCGCGGGAAAGGCAGTGCCTGTAGAGGGAATGAGATTGCTAGGGCCTGTCCAGAGCTCCCTCCCTCCCCAAATTTTCCCCCTGTGCCCTGGCTGTTTTGGTAGGATGTCTTCCCCTGTGGGCATGGCACCATGTTGGTTTGCAGTCCCAGCAGCCATGCAAAAGGCCAGGGCAGCCCACAAGCTACGTCTGCTGAGTCTGTCTCCTTGCCTTGGCTAGGGAAGGGCGACATAAGCAGTGACGTGGGCTCTCCTGGGAAAAGGGCTCACAGTCCCCAGAGGGTCGCAGCCCCCAGATGCCATGGGGGGGTGGGACCTGTGCCTGGCCAGCCTGACCCCTGGCCTGGCACAGGACACCTCTCCCAGGTGTTGGTCTCAGCTCAGACCACTTCATCTTGCCCCTCTCTTACTTGACACCTTCAATCCCCCAGGGCGAGGGCTGCAACCAGACAGCACGGGCAGGGTTGGAGGGACAGGATGCACGCAGTGATAGAGGTAAGTCAAAGCAAAGAGTTTCTCAGGCTGCAGAGGGTGGTCTTGTTGCCCAGGAGCAGAGAGATGAGCGGATGTGCTGGGCCAGAACTCTTGGAGTTAAGAGTAGCTTTGTAAATACTCCACTTTAGACTTACAGCAGGCCGCAGATCATGGCCAGGGAAGGGGAGGGAGTCAGCCCCATCTCGTCCAGCAACCAGCCTTATGGGGGCAGTGTGAGAGACAGACAAGGATCCAAGCTCTTTCCTTCCCACGAAGCATAAAGTGGGCTCAGCAGCAGCACAGCCATAGGTGCCCTGCACAGAGCCCCTGCACGTGGCTGGGCAGGATCGTACTCCATGGGGCAGCCCCATGGCTGTGCTGAGCTGACTGGGGAGCAGCACAGCTGTGTTCACACTGCAGCCAGCAAGTGCTGCTGTGTGCTTGGAGCCAGTGCGATGCCCGCATGGCTCTGGCCCATGCCAGTGAAAACTCTCCCAGATGATCTGCAGGCACCAGTCGGGACATGGGGTGTGGCTAGCTGTGATGTGATTTGCGGAGCTTATCTATGGGTACGTCCACAGTGTTGTGATCATGGGCCTCAGGGCTGGAGGATGCCTCTGGCCCATTTTAGATATTAGTACATTTGTACTGCAGAGGTGAAGATGATGATTGTCAAGTGACAGATGGAGGCAAGTGATGCAGTCTGTTGGGAACCTGAGAGACGCAGACAAACATGGGTGGAGAACTCATACCTTCATGAGATAAGAAAGAGCCCGCACTGAAAAAACCATCCCTGTTTGAACTCCATGCAGGGCACAAGCCCGCTGGCTGTCTTCAGGAGGGGATTAGCCATACCCTGTGCTCCACGAGCTGCTGCCACTGGGTCTTTGCTGACAGCAAGGGGAGCCCAGGACAGCTGGCCCAGGTGTAGACACCTGACCCATGGGCATCCAACTACATTCACATAACCCTTCCTGAGCAGTCTGTTCCTAAATCTGCTCTTGATGGCACTGAGGAGGCCTTTCCCAGATGTACTACCTGCTCCTCTTTTGTGTCCATTTAACTTCCCCAATTCCCTTTGCACTCATCTGCTGAGTGAAGCTCTCAGCATGGCAGCAGGCTCCAAACAACAGCATTGCATGAAACAGAAGTTGCATGTAGTTCTGAAACTGTCCGGCTTTGTGGGAAGGCCGCGCATAACACTTGAGCAGTCCAAAAGCTGCCCCTGCCCCTGGGGCTCACCTCACACTGCTTCCCTTTTGCTGTGTAGAGGCAGCCCCTGGGCAGACCTCTGGGGCAATAGCTATGCTTGTTTAAAGCTTTCTTGCCATGCCAGATCACAGGTAAGCCTGTTACAACATGTTGCATGTCATAAATTTTAAGTGCTAATTATTACACAAATGTCTTATTAGTACTAGAGCTGTTCTGGTGTTTCCCAAAGGCTGAAAGCAATAGAGAGCTCATGGTTCACAGCGAGGCTGGGGATGGCGAGTGCGTGACAATCTGCTAGTGGAGGCATGGGGAGGCAGAGAGAGAGCCTGCAAGGGTCACGTTGCCAGCTTGGTCCCAACAGACAGGCTCTGTCTGGCTCCTGTTTGTGTAGGTGGTTCCTGAGCAACTCTAAGGGCAGGGATTCAATAGCAGTTTTGGCCATTGACCACCAATTAGGCCAAGCCCCATATGCCACTTCCTTGTCCCCAGATGCTCTTCATCTGGATGCTACAGCACTGGCCCTGCAGCCACAGCATGCTGACCTGGCTGCTGCAGCAAGACCAAGGCAGAGACACACCTCAGCAGGGGGTTGTGCAAATCTGGCCCCACATTTTCTCCACGTACGCAGTGTCCTGCTCTTCCCATGTCATCTCTGCACTGGGCAGGACAGTGGGGAATCAGTGCCTGGATCCCTCCAAAGCAGCCTTTACCCTCTCCTCTGTCGGAGCCCACACAGAGACAGAGACTATTGCAGGGAGCATAATGGCCCCACTGCTATATCCATCCTGCTCCCTCACTAGCCATTGTCTTCATCCTGCAAGGTGGACACAGAGCCCTTCAACATCTTATTGGGGGCTCAAACCAACCAAGGTGGTGAGCAATGGATTATACCCAGCCAGGGCAACTTTTCTGCCATAAACCAAGGCTGGCTGGACAAAGCATGTGATGGCCTGAAGCCTCTGGTCTTTCTCCAGTGGAGGAGATGCTTCATGCTTAGGAGCATCTCTTTCATGTGGTGCCTTTGAGCCCAGTCCATGGATGTTTCTGAACCTCTCTGAGGGTTTTGGCTTTGCCTCTGCAGGGACCCTCCTGAACCTCAGCGTGAGTGACCATGGCCGGTCGGACTCCCTCCTTCTGTCCTGGGATGAGCCAGAGGGGGGTGCTGAGGGATATTCGCTCGCCCTCTCCTCCCTGGGGTCAGGCACACCACTGCAGAATGGATCTGCTGGACCCAACATTACCAGCTTCTGGTTCCACGGGCTGACCCCTGGCACGCGCTATGAGATTGAGGTGACAGCCATGCTTGCCTGCACGGAGACCACCAGCCAGACAGTCACAGCACAGACAAGTAAGGGGTTCCCCAGGGACTGCAGAGTCAAAGGGTCTCAGTGCTCCTACCAGTGGTCATCACACTGCTTTGGAGGGTGCGAAGTACAGGTCTGTGTGGAGTCCCATGAGTTCATGGGGAGGTCAGGCCTTTCCTCACTTCCACAGCTATCAGGGTCCTTCCCTGGTCCCCAGACCCCCAGGGGTCATTCCCTCATCCATGTGGAGGGAGGGTCCTGTCCCTGCACCTTACACGGGCAGGGTTCATGCTGTACCTTCTCCTGCAATAATATAGCTAATGATGGTCCAACCTATGATGTGGACTGCAGAGAGCCAAGGAGTGGAAAATGCCATGCCTGGAGGTCTAGAAAGACCTACAAGGAAGTAGCATTTACTCAATGGTTTTGGTGCATCTCTCAATCACTGGTTCACCCACCAAGCCTTGCTCTATGCCATCCCTGGCTGATGCCTAGGATGGGGGGAAGGGCTGGTGAGCCCACAGCTCAGGTGAGGATGGAAGCCCTTGCCTGCATGTCTCCAGAAGATCCTTCAGTAAATCAGTGCAGGTGAAGGTGGAAAACCTAGAAAAGGAGAGTAGAGCTGGAGGGAGGGGTTTGGCCAGCAGAAGGGATGGTGTCAGACAATAGCGGTGGCTGCAGGGAGCAGGGGCTGGCGCTCACAGAAAGGCAGGTGGCAGGACCCAGAGTCAGCAGGAACAGAGGACCTGGCAGCAGCTAAGCTCACAGGTAAGCGCTGATGGATTCACGTTTCTCAGCATGCACATGGTGTGTTGTCCCTGACTGAACCTCCCTGCCCAGTTCAGAGTGACTGTGCAGAGACTGATCCAAAGGGGATGGTGCAGCCCACACAACCTGTGGGAGACTGGTGAGCTGGCAGGGAGGTGATGGGGCTGTGCTTGGGGGATTGGGTCCTGTGAGCTGGCTGGCAGGACCTCACCAGGTGAGGGCACTGTCCCACCAGCCCTTGAACAACCTGGCAGGCCAGGCATCCCCAGGCAACCAGCCAACACCATCTGTGCTATGTCCAATGCAGGTCCTTCACCTGTCCGCAACCTGAGCCTGAGCAGCAGCGGGAGCTCTGCCATGCTGCATGCCTCCTGGGCGCACGCCCACGGCCAGCGGGAGGGCTACCACCTTGCCCTCTACCACAGCGACTCCCAGACGCTTGTGAGAAATGCGTCCATCCTGCCAAACGCCTCCACGTTCCTGTTTGACGGGTTGCTGGCTGGCAGCGAGTACGCCTTGAAGGTCAGCACGCTGGCTGGATCCAGCCTGGCAAGCACAAGTATCCACCAGTGGACAGGTAGGGAGTGATGGGTGTGCCTGGCCAAGAGGGCAGGGGTGGGAGAAAGGGTTTGGCAGGAGGGGTGCAGCACATGTGCCGGCTGGGCTAGCAGAGACAGGGATGAGGTCTCCAGGCTCAGGATGGGGACTTTGTGTAGGATGGGGAACAGCTGGGAGTTTTTCACATCTCTTCTGTGACCCCAGTGTGCTGGGCCAAGGGGGTTAAACCTTGCACCTCAGACCTGCTTTGCAGGACCCACAGCTTGGGTTTGTGTGCTCCGTGTCCCCATGGGAGAAGGGCAAGCTGGGGATCCTGGCAAAAGATCTTGGCTGGTGGGAGCTGCAGAAATGTTGCATTACCCAGGCTGCCACCCCCTCTGCCCTGGAGCCTGAAAGAGCATGACAGTATGGAGGGACCTCAAGAGCCCCTCAGCCTGCCTGGGAAGGGACATGGGAGAGACATCCCTCAGCAGACGCCTGCCAGACATTCACCCCCCCATGCCAGCACAGAGAGGAGCTGTGGGCATAGGAGACCCTGGGGAGAGAGGAGGGTCCGGGAGCCCCAGCCCCAGTGCTGAACCTTGCTGCCTCCTGCTTTTCCCCTCAGCTCCCACCATCCCCACCCAGCTGAGGCTCAGCCCGGGCTCCAGCACCAGCCTCATCGCCTCCTGGATGGGTGCTGCGGGGGCCGCCTGGCTGCACCTTGCACTCCACAACCTCCTCACCCAGACGGTGACCACGACCCTGTCAGCCAGGAGGGGCCTCACCAGCTACACCTTCCAGCATCTCCACCCCGGCACCCAGTACTGGCTGGGGCTCAGTGCCACAGCTGGGCCCTACACCGTGGTAGGGCCCAATGCCACTGCTTGGACATGTGAGTATGATTGCCAGGGATGAGGGAGGACCTCAGTGGCCCTGGCTTTATCCCTGCCTCTGGTTCAGCCTCTGAATCCAAAGGTCTCCTGCCAGAGCCCCGGGTGCAGAGGGCAATTCTTCTGCTTGGACCTGGCCGAAAGCTGCTCTAGGACCCAGCTCTGGGGCACTGCGATAGTGGGGCCAGTGAGTCCCCTGGGCAGGTGAATTCCCAGTGCTGGCCTCCTTCTCCCCTGGATGCACTGGGATCAGCCAGTGGCCTCTCCCTGAGGAGGAGATGGAAGGGCAGCAGTTCCCAGTGGTGTTTGTGCAGCTGGGGCTGGGCTCTCATGTGCCTCAGGGCTGTCCAAGGGCAGCAGAGAAAACAGGGGGCAAGGCGATAGCAGTTTAGCTGGTTTGAGCTGGAGGTTTCTGTAGGGAAATGGATCTTTGGTCCTCTTTGATTGCTGTCAAGGCTATATTTTTCATAGCTCCTGATAACCTCATCCTGGTGGATGTCCCTAATATGCCAGGTGCTGTGCAAACACAGCCAAGGAAACCAGTCTCTGGCAGGTCAAGAAATTGAGGATAGGCCTCCCAGACCCCAGCTAGTTGCACCATTCAACCCATCTGCCTCCACCTTCTGGCCTCAGGCTGACAAGGGCCATGAGAGAGGGTGACTTCTACCGCCAGAGTCGGGGGTTGCTGCCGACACTGCAAACAGTTCTGGCCCCAGGCTTGCTCTCCCAGATGTTCCCAGGAAAACCAGGGGGAAATGGAGAGGGCAAGCCTAGCCTGGACAGAGCGAGACTCATGCCGAATGACAAGAAAGTGTTGGCCCTCTCTAGTGAGGAGGAACAAATTATGGAGGTGCCAAGCTGCAAAATCACAGCTATTGTGGCCAGTGACTCATCCTGGCCTTGGGCAGAGACACTGGTCAGGCCTACGCTGCAAGGACCTGGGTGCCACCAGGTGACAAGTCTCCAGCTCTTTCCTGCTCTGCCTGCCAGTCTGGGAAGCTGGAGCCTGCTCACTGCTGACTCTGCAGCTGGGATTTTGGAAGATCTCCACACCCCCAGCTGGTTTGTTTCTGCTATGAAGTGAGTCTGACTCAATCTCTGCTGTTGCTGTCTGCGGCTCTGACCTACCTGACTGAACAGAAGTCCCCAGTGCCAGATGCACAAGCCAGGAGCATCCAGCCAGGAGTCGGTCCAGGCCAGTTCCTGGGAATATCAGCAAGCTCATGACAGCTCCTGAATGGAGAGGAGGGGGACTTTTAGGAATTTCCCAGCAGGGCTGCCAGCTTTGTCTGGGCTCTGCTAGACCACGAATGGTTGTGCTAGGGAGTGGAGACAGCATGCTTCAAAAGGATGTCTAAGGCTGGATGTAATCCTGCAGATAAGGAAGCAGGGAATGAGGCTCAGGAGTGTATGGGGTACAGAACACCCCATAATCCTGACACACACAATCCCCGTTCCCTTCCCTTCCAGACCCCCTGAGCCCTGGCAATGTGACCCTGAGCAATGCAGAGGAGCAGAGCTCCTTGCAGGCTCTCTGGAGCGCCCCAGCGGGAGAGAGAGACTTCTACCTGGTGACACTGCAGGAGGGAGAGGATGGTGCTCCAACAAGGAACATTTCCGTCGGCGGAGACAACAGTCATGTCACCTTCCATGGGCTGAGCCCTGGGAAGCAATACTCTGTCCAGGTGACGGCGGTGGCTGGGCCTTACCAGGCATCAGCCCGCAGTGCAGCAGCCTGGACACGTAAGCAGAAAGCCTGAGCGTGTCCTTTTGAGGCCATTTCTGCTGCCTGATGGAGGGGCTGATACCCAGAGGGAAGCTGGTGGGATGGTGAGGGGGACTGCAGCAGGGGCAGAGATGGGTTTGTGCAGTGCAGTGGCAGCTGGTCTCAAGAGCAGGCTGTGGGTCAGAGCAGCAAAATCTGCTGCCCCACAGTTCCTTCTTGGCAGACTTGTGTCAGGTAGTGTCAGGCACAAATCAAGACCAGATCCTACTCAGTAACCTTCAGACTCAGTGTTTGGCAGACTTCAGGACAGCTTCCCCTCCCTCTTCTCACAGCAGCTGGTTTGGTGGGTAGTGAAGCACCACCAGTCCCCTCCAGCGCAGCATCTCCCTGTGCCCAGTCCCTTCTGAGTGACTTGCAGAGCCACAGTTGGTGCTGTCCCAGAGCTGCCACCCTGGGAAGGAAGGAGAGGAGCCTTAAACAGTGGGCAGGCACTCACCCAGCCCATGGGTCCCCAGCAGTAAAAGGCTCTCCCTGCAGCCCTGACTGCCCATGTTTCAGGGGGGACCACTGCAGAGTGTTGTGGGAGCAATCTGGCTGACTGATGCACTGCCTTCCACAGTAACGTGCACAATTCCATCCTTGTCCCTTGCAGAGCCGCTAGCACCATCTGGTGTGAGTCTGTCCAGCCAGGGGAGCCCCTACAGCCTACTAGCCAGCTGGGAGGAGGCAATGGGAGAAGGCTATGTGCTGGCCCTCAGCCCCATGGAGCACCCCGTGAAGAACAGCTCATTGCTCAAAGGTGTCACCAACTTCACCTACAAGGGCCTCCGCCCTGGGACCCTTTACACCTTTGAGGTCAGCACTGTGGCTGGCCCCTACACATCCTCACCCCGGCGCATCACCAACTGGACATGTGAGTGCCACAGCCCCCACCGCAGCCAGCCCTGGGGTTCCCACTGGATCTTGCCCTTCCCCAAGATGTCGTGCCTCAGAGCATGTGATAACATGGGTCTTCTGCAGCTTCATGCAATAAAAGGGCAAAAGGCTCAGGAGGAAAGCAGAGGCACTGCTGGATGTGTCTGACCCTGGTCTGTATCCCAATCACCCGGCACAAGGGTCAGCAGAGCCCAGTGCCCTCCTCTTCCTCCCTCAGACCACCCTCCTGTGGCACTGCTCAGGCTGCATCTGCCTTGAACCACCTCTCCACTGCTCTGGTCCAGACCATCCCACCCACCACATCCTCCAGCACCAGAGCAGTCCTCTCTTACCATGTCAGTTTGAACACTGGCTGGCCCAGTCCCTGCCAAACTGGTGTGTGGTTGTCAGCAGGGGTGACGGTGGCCTGCACAGACCCTGTGGGTGGCCAGAGCACCTGGATGTGGGTTTTCCCAGGGAAGGGCCTCCAGCCCCAGCACATTTGGCATTGCACTTCTCCCAGGTGACCCCAGTCTGGGTGCAGCTGTGAATCTAGACCTTTCCTTTCCTAGATCCTTTGCCCCCGGAGCAGCTGACCCTCAGCAATCAGGGCCACAGCACCTCTCTGCAAGCCTCCTGGAGAGCAGCTCCCGCTGGTAGTACTGGCTACACAGGCACCCTCTGGGAAACCAAGTCCCAGGAGCGGGTCAGGAACATGACTGTGGGGACCAACTGGATGAATGTCACCTTTGAGGACCTGGTCCCTGGGCGACAGTATACACTGGAGATGGCTGCTATGGCTGGACCTTACAGATCCCTTGTGCGATCAGCCACAGACTGGACGTGTGAGTGTGATACCCCTACCTCAATTCAACTGCAGATTGCAACCGTGGCCTGCCAACAAGAGCAAAAGGCTCACGGCATGGAAACACGGCAGAGTGTGGACCGTGTATGGAGAGGTGGAGGAACTAGGGGCAGGGATGCACTGACAGACAAAGAGTGGAAGGCCAACCAGAGCCACATTCAGCCAGGTTGGAAGTAAAAGGGTCTTCAGTGCAGGAGAAACCCATCACTGAACAGAAAACATTTCCAAAAGTCACGCAGCAGGAAAGGTGGGCACCCGCCCTCATGTTTGTTGTGGAGCAGAAGCTCAGGCTGTTCTGGGGTTTGATATGCCAGGGCTCATTTCTCACCTGAGCCCACCAGAGACAGGCAGTGGAGGGTCCCCAGGACAAGTGCGTGCAGGCACACACTCCACACTGTGGGAGGTCCACCACAACTGCCTCTTACTGCCTGGATGTCTCTTCTCTCTCAGGCCCCCTGGCTCCAGCTGGCGTGACCCTGACCAACACCCGACGCCCGCTGGGACTCTCTGCCTTCTGGGACAAGGCTGCTGGCGATGTGGACCAGTTCCACCTCCAGCTCTACAGCAAGAGCCATCCAGCGCAGAGGAACATCTCAGTGGGGCCAAACACCCACAACTTTACGTTCCTGGGGCTGTCCCCTGGCATTCAGTACTTCCTGAAGGTGACTGTCCTTGCTGGCCCATACAGATCCTCGTCACACTTTGCCACCGAGTGGACATGTGAGTGAGAAGTGTCCCCAGCCTCCTGCAGGGTTGGGGCATCCTGGCACTGCCTGCAAGACTGGCAGTGAAGCGGACATATCTGGGCAGAGGGAGGGCTCTGGTGAGACCTGCACGCTTCTTGCCTCTGGGAATTGGAGCACGTGTCATGAGTTAGGTGCTGTGTGCTGGCTTCTGGGCCCCAGAAGACCCTTTTCCCCAGCTCAGGCTTTCCACAGTCAAGCTGAAACTTGCACCTAGACCACTCATGATCTCAAGGCCAGCCTGGGACTGGTGGGAGAGGGATGCGCAAGAGGAAGCACAGAGCCCATATGGGCTTGCTGCTTGCTGTCCATGGAGCAGAGCAGCCCACTGGGGAGCTGAGTGCTCTCTTCTCAGTACAGCACCTGCCTGCTAGCAGTGTCCTGGGGACACACACAGGCCACTTGCATGTCCCCCAGGACAACGGGAGAGCTAGCAGTCAGCTGACACCACTTCTCCTTTAGCCCTGTGCAGAGGTGCAGGCTGTGTCCTGGCTTCTGCAGTTGCTTTCCTCCACCATCTCATGGATCTCCATGCTGTGTTTTCCCCTAGATCCACTGTCTCTGGCTAACGTGAGTGTACAGCCTGGCCGGAGACCCCAGGAGCTACATGTGAGCTGGGTGGAGTCAGGCGGTGGCAGAGACCACTTGGTACAGCTCTCGGTGGCTGAGTCCCTGTCCATCATCAGGAATGTGTCCGTCCCCCGTGGAGTCACCCAGCTTGACCTGGAGGGGCTGGTGCCAGGGTCCCGATACCGTGTGGAGATAATTTCTCAGGCTGGGCCTCATCGCATCTCCTCTCAGACTGCCATTGGCTACACTGGTAGGAATGCAGCCTCTCTGCACCCATCCCCATCCCTGGTACCCAGCCTGGCTTTGACCTGGCGAGGGGCTGGGGACCAAGACGGAGGGGTCCTAGGGCTGTTCTGCAAGAGAGCTCTGATACCATGTCCCTGCAACCCCACTGGTGCCTGTCTCCTACTCAAGATGCTGGCTTTCTTTTTGGGACCCTCACTCATCCTGAGCCCAGCAGCTCAATGGGGCATGCTGTGAGCCTGCCCCAGCACTTTGGGACAAGGGGGTCTCAGGTCATGGTGATGATGCACCGTTATGACCTGGGACACAGAGAGCAACTTTGATCTGGGAGCAACCCACTGCTCTCAGCAGTCTTTAGACAGCATGATAGATGCTCACAGTCCTACAGCTCCCAGCTTCATTCCCAAACTAGAGTCAGTCCTGAGCATCCCAGGTTTGTCCCCTGTAACGCTGTTTCTCTCCTGCAGTCCCACTACCTCCTCTTTCCCTGTCGGCAAGCCCTGTCAGCACTGCCTGGGCTCTGACTGTGCACTGGGAAACTCCTCCTGGGCAGAGGGATAGGTATCTGCTTAGTGTGAAAGAGGAGGGCTCTTCTGCACCAAAAAGGAACCTGGAAGCAGGGAAGGACAGCACCAATGTCACCCTGGCACAGCTGGAACCAGGAACTTGCTACCTTGTTGGGATCTGGGCAGTAGCCGGACCCTATCACTCCCTCCCCAAGAACATCACTGGCTGCACAGGTGAGCATGCATACCACCCATGGGTGATTTGTGTGGGAGCACTGCAAGGAGATCCAGAATGGGATGGGGATCAGTGTTGGCACCCAGGGAGAGGAGAGCACCCTGGCCTGGTTTCCAGTGATGCTAGCCTGCAGTCATCTCTGGCCTCTTGCAGCCTTCTTGTATCACAAGGGCACAGAGTGCCTAACAGACATGGCTGCATGTTCAGAACTGGATCTTTTTCTCTCTGACTCGTGTCTCTCTTTCCTCGCAGTTCCTGCTGCTCCGACAAACCTGATCCTTACTAACCCAGGCAGCTCCTCAGAGCTTTACATGTGCTGGAACAAGCCCCCCGGCAGGAGGGACCACTACCGTGTTATTCTGTATAGCCTCAGCAACCAGGGCAGGGATCGGGTCCAGACCTTGAGTCCAGATGCCCAGAACATCACCTGGACTCACTTGGAGGCAGGCAGCAGGTTTGCTGTGCAGGTCACTGCTGTGAAAGGTTCATTTGAAGCCTCTTCCACCAATGTCACCCAATGGACATGTGAGTCTGATGGGTTGGGTTGGACATAGCACTGCAGTGTGCCCCAGAGCCTCCATCTGAGCCTTGCAGAGCACCCACCACTACCTTCCCCTTCCCAAACCATCCCCACTGTGCTCCTAGCTTCTACATAGTTGTCCCACCTTTCTGTTCACTGTCCTCATTCCTTCCCTGACAGAGATCCAATCCCCCCTACCCACCTCAAAGGCTCTGGGTATCATCCCTGCCATGTCCAGCTGCAAGCCCTTGGGATATTGCGCTCAGAGCCACGTGCACTCTCTGCCCATTTGTCCCCATGCTTCTCTCTGGGAGGATCTCTGGTGGCCAGCCTGCCCACCGCCCAATGGGAGCTGCGGGCTGGAGTCCAGCACTGCCAGAGCACGAGGGATCACTGGGCAGAGCAGCCAGCTCATAGCATTGAGCAGCAAGCAGTGGCACACAGGGGCTGACTGTCTCCCTGTTGCTTTCCAGATCCCTTGGCCCCTGCCAACCTCACCCTGGGCAGCCCCTCTGCATCCACGCTGCAGGCCTCCTGGGCAGCAATGGGGCAAGGAGCAGAAGGCTACGTAGTGGATGTCTATGACACAGCCTCCAGCAGTCATGTTGGGCACATGGTACTGGGTGGGGATGCCAGGAGTCACATCTTTAGGAACCTGAGCCCTGGCACCCACTACAGTGTGGCAGTGAGTGCCACAGCTGGGCCCTTCCACACCAGCACCCCCAACCTCACCCACTGCACACGTGAGTATGATGCTCTCCTTGCAGCCCTGTGTCCTCCACCAGATCTCCCCCTTCTGGGTTCAGATCAGAGGCTATACTCGTGCAGCCAGATCCTGTCTTCCTCTCCCACCCATGCAAGCGCCCAGTGCTCATGCCCTGCTGGATGCAGCAAGGGGAGTCTGTGCATGGCCCTGTGGCCTGGTCACCCATGTCCCTGGTAGCCATCCACAGGCATCCACAAGCTCAGGCAGCACCAGGGAGGAGGCAGCTGCCACAGAAACAAGGGCAAAGCCAGCCCTCAGGACCTTGCAGGGCTGACCCACCTCCTGCAGCACAGGCTTGATACAGATATGGAGCATCTCCTTTCCTTTAGCCCAGATGTGGCTCCTGGCAGTGACTTGTGTTTCCTCCCCAGGCCCGCTGCCCCCGGCTGCTGTGCACTGGCTGAGCATGGGGCATCCTGACAGGCTGAGCACATCCTGGGGAGCCACAGCTGGGCGGCGAGATGGCTACACACTGACGCTGTACCATGCACAGCTGGGCTCCATAGCAGCTACAGCCTCACTCAGGAGAGACACCCACAACTTTACCTTCATGGGCCTAACCCCAGGATACGAGTACTCCCTGGAGGCCAGTGCCACAGCTGGACCATACCAGGCAGCGGCACCCAACATCAGTGGCTGGACACGTGAGTGCCTGGAGGAGTGTCCCCTGCAGAGGGGCAGGAGATGTTGCCCCACTGGGCAGTCCTGAGGAGGGCTGGGAGGTTTACAGGGGATCTGGTGCCTTTGGAGATGTGCACACACATGTTCACGGGTGCAACACGCAGCAGTTAGTGCAGGGGCACACTGTCACCCTCATGCACATGGACGTTCAATTGTAGACTTGCACAAGAACATGTTGATGACATGCAGGGTTGCCCAGCTGTGCCCATGTGGGAACATCCCCCTGCCCCTTCAGCCTGTGTACAGAAGCACTCACACCCTCACTGAGTCTCCTCCAGCAGTTAGAAAACACATTACCATAAAAGTTCATGAAATGAATCAGTATAGTACAAAAGGCTAATCCATAGTCCTCCCGGGAGAAGAGGTCTTTGCTCTGGAGATGGACTAGTCCAGCACTTCTCCCCACCCAGAAAGGTTTTAGGGCTGGACACAGTATTGATGCTGTGCCAGCTCTGCCCAAGCAGCTGCAGGCCAGCTGGGTGCTGGAGGACATGCGTTCAAGCAGCAGTGGCAAAGGCGCTCCAGCTGGGCTATGGGATGAGGGTGACCTAGATGAAGAAGGGTTGTCATGTGAGGGACCACAGAGGGTGAGCAGTATTAAAGGTGAGGTGGGATGGGGACAGAAAAGAGAAAAGTGAGGAGGAGGAGTGTGCCAGAGGGTGTCTATGAGTCCCAGCCCTTAGGGAGCATCTGTCCTGCTGTACAATGTCCCATCAAGTGTCTGTTTCCTTCTGCATGGTCTCCAGTCCCTAACATTAGGTCTGGTAACTCCCCAGGCCCACTGCCCCCAGCTGCTGTGCGCTTGCTGAGCACGGGGCACCCCGACAGGCTGAGCGCGTCCTGGGGAGCAGCAGCCGGGGGCCGAGACGGCTATGCACTGACCCTGTACCATGCACAGCTGGGCACTGTGGCAGCTACGACCTTGCTTGGGAGAGACACCCACAACTTCACCTTTATGGGACTGGCCCCAGGAAGCAAGTATGTGCTAGAGGTGGTGTCCACGGCTGGGCCCTACCAGACACCTGCAGGGAATGTCAGCAACTGGACGTGTGAGTACCCTGTTTTGAAGGTGATGCATGCCTTGCTGGGCAGTCACGAAAGCTCATGGCAAAGGACATGGCCCCAAGGACCTTCATGGCACTCCCCGAGCCCTGCCTAGACCAAAGGGCTTGTCAGTGCCATGGCACTGAGCAGAGCTCTGCCCATCCTCACCATCAGCTCCACTAGCCTGGATTAGTTCAGCTGAAGCTCTGGGGGCTGTGCTTCAGAGGAGAGGCATGGAGGAGGGAGCAGGGAACAGGGGCATTCACTTCCCGCCCCCCCCCCCCCCTCTAGCTGACTGGGTGGTCCCTCCTCACCCATCTCGGTGTCTTGCTCCAGCTGGGACAGGGCTGTCTGCTCAGACAGGCACCACTTGAAGCTTGCAGAAGCTGCTTTTAGCTGCCTCCAGGCTGGTGGATGCAGCCATCCAGCCAAGACAAAGTGCTCTGTCCTGTATGGTGCATCCCTTCTGATGACACTGCCAAGATACTCAGGCAATGTCCTCAGACCCTTCACTGACATGTCTCCCATCCTGTCTCTCCAGACCCCCTGGCACCCCGTAATGTGTACATGACAAACCAGGGGTATCCCAACAGGCTGAGCACATCCTGGCGAGCGGAACCCCAAGGACAAGACAGTTACAGGCTCCTCCTGTATCATTGGGGATCAGGTATTGTGGCAGCCAATGTATCTGTTGGGAAAGGCACCAGCAAATTCACCTTTTCTGGCCTGGCTCCAGGACACAAATACCTGCTGGAAGTGGTGTCCATGGCAGGGCCCTACGCAGCCTCCGCGGGGAATATCAGCGACTGGACAAGTAAGTGGCAAGAGCTAGAGGTCCTTGCAACACGCATGAGGCTCAGCCTCACCCAAATGGGTAGGCTCAGCACCTGCAGTGATAAGGGGCAGGGACATGGCTAGAACTGCTGCCTGGAAGCTGTAGGTACCATCATAGCAATGAGAATACAGGCTATGCAACCCCCCTGTGGAGGGGAGAGCAGGGCAAAACTGCTGTCCATTGGACAGTCCGGCAGCCATGGCTGCTGTTTCAGAAGGCAGACCTCCAGCTCGTGGCCCCGCTGTTCACACAAGCTGGCTCCTCCAGGCAGGCATGGGTGACTGCACAAGAGTAAGGGACCCCATGGCAGTAGTGCTGCTCTGGTAGAGGACACCCACTGCCTGGGAGACCACAAGGTCTTACAGCCAGGGGGGGACACCCCACCATCCCTGCTGCCTTTCTCCCAGGCACTCAGAAAATTCCTGGCATGGGGGATAAGGGGAGGCTGGGCTTTTTTTTTTTTTTTTTTTTTAAAGGAATGTGGAAATTGCAGATAAGCACAATAAGCCTTTTCATGTGCTTGTGCCCACAGTCCCTGCACTTTGCTTGGGGAATCCAGAGGTCTCTGCTCCCACACTCAGCCAGCCCCTGGCAGGGTGCTGGGAGTCATGTGCAGAGCCCTTCAGGCAAGTCTCTAATGAAACTTGCTAATTAGCAGATGGAAGAACCCATCTCCTCGTGCTCCTCACTCTGCATGTCCTCCAATTGCCATTTAAAGGTCATTTCTGGTAGTGGCAGTGAGCAGCTGCAGAAATGTTATCACTGAACATATGAAGCTTCCTTCTTGTATGGAAGAGAGTACATGCATGCCAGTAACTCTCCCCTGGTGTGGTTTTCATTGTAGCCCCCTCAGTTCCCAAAAATCTCTCTGCGGTGGCTGAAGGGAACAACACGATGCTCATCTCCTGGGGCAGCGTCTCTGGAGAGCAGGACGAATGCCAGCTATGGCTGCGGGATCCCAGGAACAGCACGCTGCCCTGGCGGCAGGCCCTCGACAGAGGGCAAGTCCAGCACCTCCTCCAGGGGCTGATCCCAGGGAGGAACTACTCTGTCTCCTTGAGCTGCGTGGCTGGGCCCTACTGGAGCAGCACCAAACCCTTGGCAGTGCCAATGGGTGGGTACACACTGTCGTAGGGATGGGGGGAGTGCAGGCTGGAAGGGGGAGAAACACCTGGGTGGCCTCAAGACTGGATCAGCCCTTGGGTGTCAACAGAAGCATGGGAAGTCTTCATGGTGGGAGATAAGGAAAGCTAACAAGGTGATCCTCTGGTAGGCATCAGCTTTCTAAGCTAGCCCCATCACAGAGATTTCCCATAACCTTGTGGCCTGGTTACCTGTGAAGCAAAGTGGACTCTGCAGAGATCTCCATTGGTCTGCTTCTCCTGTAAGACATCTGCTCAGGCCCTGACCAATTAGCCTTGTCCTGTGGCCCTTCGCACAGAAGGCTCCCAGATCACAGATGCCCAGCTCTGCTCCTCTCTCATTGACCTAGGGGCAGGCAGTAGAGGACCACAGTGGCTCTGGGCTGACGCATGGGCTGAGACTGGGATTTCTCTGATCCAGTAAGTTCAGAGCCTACCATATCTCCTTCGCAGAGCCAAACCCGGTGGAGGATGTGCAATGCCTACCAGAGTCAAGAAGCCTTTACTTGAACTGGACCAGCTCTCCTGGAGATGTGGAGGCTTATGAGGTGGTGGCAGAGAGACTCTCTGATGGACCTTCCACCTCCAAGTATGTCGTGAGCATCCCTACGAGTGAGGCCAGTCTGCAGGGGCTGGGGCCAAACTCATCCTACCGAATCTTTGTGAGCACAGTGGGCATGAACACAATGAGAAGCCAGGCTGTGACTCTGCTCTGCAACACAACAGTGGAGGGTGAGTCCCTTTCTTTCCCGCAACCTTGCCACAGACCCCAGGAGAAGACACCCAGCGTTGCTAATTACACCTGGGGACTCTTTCAGCTGCCTGTGAGCCCCATGTGGTCCTGCACTGAACTGCAGTGGGTCAGGGCTCTGGGCCGTGATGCTGGGACCAGTCACAGGCTGAGCAATGCATGGTGGGTCTGTGGGAGCAGGGACACACTAACAGGCTGTGCTTGCTGGTTCCTCTTCCAGCCCTGCCTCCACCCCTGCGAGCAGACATCTTCCAGGTGGAGGCCAGCTCCACAGTTATCATTTCATCTGACCTGTTCAGCGAGGAGAACGGCCAGATCGAGTATTACGGTGTCATTGCTACCACTAATGATTCATGTAAGTGCCCCTGCACATCCAATCTGCAGTGGCTGCCTGGAGGGCAGCAGGCCCCCTGGATGTCACTTTGGGACTACCACTGTCACCTTGTACATTCCCCTTCAGTGCTGAGGCCCACCCAGGAAATCATGTCCAGCACATGGTATGACCACTATTATGGGACAGAGGACTCCTACCTGGCTGTGCTAATCCCCAATCCCTTCCATCCGAGCCCCAGGAGCTCCCCTGAAACCTGGCGAGTGTCAGTGGGAACAGAGGAGTGCGGCCAGTCCAGGGCAACATGCAACGGGAAGCTGAAAGCCAACGAACAGTACAGGTGAGAGATGTCCACAATCCTCCCGAGAGGAAGGCGCTGGAGAAGAAAAGGGACTGCACATGTCCCTGCAAGGTGCCAGCAGCTCCCTGGATGTTGCCTCACCCTCGTACTCCCCAGACCCCCAGCAGTGGACCCAACGGGTTGCTCCACCAAGCAGCATTTGAGGGGTGCAAGAGCTGGCATACCAGAGAATATTAGACAGTGTAGGTGAGCAGGGAGAGGGAGAGCAGAGGTGAAAGCTGAGACTGACAAGGGCTGTATGTGTTGCCTTGGGAGCTGGGCAGTTGTCCACCTCCAGGGTAAGAACTAAAATGGATGCTGTTAATTGTAGGACTTTTGCATGTGACTCAGAGCCACATGCAGACTTAGAGAGTGCAAAAATTAAACTGATTTAGAAACTAGTTCAAGTGGTGCCTACACAAATGGGGGCTCAAAGGTTGGGGGTAGCAAATGCACAGGCTGAGGTCCAAGTTCCCCATGAGACACACACACACACAGATCACTATATTCATAGATTTAGAGTCTTATTTGACAGTAGGTAGAATCCAGGAACACGAATGTACAAGCATACATATTTTGTTATAGGTTACCTTTAAAATAGTTGATGGTAAAACAGGTTTTCTACTGCAAACAAAGAATCATATCTTTAGTTAGTCCTCTGTTAATTTAGCAGCTCACAATTTCATCAAACAGGGACTGTATCCCCAGGCATTTCTCTGACAAAGGGATCCCCCAGAATCTGGGAGGTTGTCCCATTTCAGTTTAAAGGAACTTACAGCAAGGGTGGCTGACTAGTGATAGAAGTCGCTGAGAGTGTTGGGAACAGAGAAAGAAAGACCGTGAGAGAGTGCGTGCATGAGAGAACTTCACTTTTCCCTAGGAGTAAAGTGAGAATTATGTCTGCCCTTAAGTCTTGTGGTGAGTGAAGTCAAGGTCCTTGATGTTGAGTTTGGACCTGCTGGCTCTCCTTCCTTTCTTCTTTACTGCTTCGCTCTCTCTACTTTTGCTATGTGCAGACTCCATGCTTACATGAAGAACTTACACTGATTCTTGTAAAGTTGTTTTAGATTTACATGTTGCCAAACAGGGGCTCTTAAGCCACTCTTTGGGGCAGCACTGGCAGAGAATAGAGATTGGTGTTAATGCTGGGCTGCATCAGGGGAGTGGGAAATGGCTGCTTGTCTTGGGGAAAAAAAGGGAATTGCTAGAAAGCCATTCCCTTGGAAATCCCACCGAGAGTAGGATCATCAGAGGAAACAGCTCTTTGGGCTTTCCCTAGGTACTGTATTATCATGCCTGGCAGGAGAACTGCATTATGATCTGGCACGGGAGAGCCTCCAATTGATTCAGAAGGTTTGAGACTGCCCATCAAGCCCATCTATTCTTTATTGCTAACGGCTCCTGCCCGACTCGCCCTCAGGCATGGCAGGGCAAGCCTTACTGCTTAACCCTAGCAGCCTCAGATCTGGCCTTCTGCTCCAGCCAGGACAGCCTGGGCACAAGCTGGGTCTGCGTTAGCATTGGCTCAGCCCAAGGTCTGCCAACAGTCTCGAGTGGGGTTTAACAACAGCAGAAACACACCAGGATACCCTTCCACCCCCCAAATACTGTCTGCCCAGTCTGAGGGTGGTATATGTGCCCACCCTGCTTCCCAGCTGCCATTTTCGTTCCAACATTGACCTCCTGCAGGGTAGCAGCTAATTCAGAGCCATCAGGCTGTCATTAGTCTACCTACCATGGTTCAATAACATGTACTTAACTGTCCGGTTACTCAGGACTAGAAAATCCTTTTGCACCTCTTCACAGCTTGGTTTAATTTTGGCTGCCCTAAACAACCTGTATCCTCAGTACACTGTGCTGCTTTCCTAGTTAATCATTAGTAGTGTGGTGAAAAGCAGATACCGCTGACAGCCCATCTCCACTCTGAAAGCCAGCCCTTGTTTCCTATCTTTCAGTGAGTTATTTATCCACAAGCCCTTATCTCTCATGCCATGGCATCTGCAGGCTCAGTTTACAAAGAGGTTTTTGCTCTGGCAGCCAGGTCCAGGGTGCTGCCAGAGGGGACTCACACGAGGCTCCACCAATTTTGGCTGCTAAAATCCGAAGCTACATTTGAAAGCCTTAGCTTGTAGTTAGGGCAGAAGAAGACCTACCCTTCCAAGTTACCTGCTTAGAAGGAATTCAGCTCTGCAGGGAGCTGTGAGGCTTGGTGTGCACACTGCCAGGAGGAGGATGTAGGGCAGATCTCCACAGGGAGGAGGATGCACCAGCCACTTCTGTGTGCATAAGGAAGGGTCTGGGTCACGGCTCAGCCCTCCCAGCTCAGGTGTCTCTGTTTCAAAAGTTACCTGGGCTCAGCTCTTTCAAGTCAACCCAATTAATGGATTGACATGAACTAAGAGAGTGACTCAACCCAACTTGATTTTCCCTACTTACTGTTGTCTTTCCCTATTTGTGTCCTATAAGAGCAGAAACTTAACTTGTCTCTGGAAATAACTCTTCGGAGGACAGCTGTTTCCCATTTGTGCTTTCTGAACATTTTCTCATGTTCTCCCAAGTGCAACAAACTTGTGCAAGAGGCAGAAAAGGGAGGAAAGACCATTTTCACACATTCCCTAAACCCCTACCAGAAAACCAACTTCTTCCAACACAGCATTTCAAAACAGAGGCAGCTGTCCTGTTCCCTTGGGTCTTCCTGCTGCTGGCTGCATGGCTGCTGTGCTCAGTTCAGACTGCCCCTGATGGTAGGACTCTGCTTTGCCCTAGGTTCAGCATCGCTGCCTTCACCAAATATGACCCAGTAGCCCCTGCAGTGACATTCACCATGTTCTCAGGTAAGATAGAGAATGGCATCTTCCCCACCTGGCTGCGTAGGTTAGAGATAATTAACAGTCTGACAATGGCAAGCCAGAGGGAGATCATAGGCTGTAGCAAATAAAATAAATACAGTAAATGCAGCCATTTACTGACTTTTCTGTCCGTTCTATCTCTTTTTTATTCGAGCTGCTGGATCCAGTGCAGACACAACTCCACTATCAATGCCAATAATCACTGGAATCATTGTGGGATTTCTCTTGACACTTGCAGCTATTTTTGCTTTGGTCTACTGGAAACAGCTCAGAGCAAAGAGGTGAGGATGAGCCACCTTTTACCCAAGGGGTGCAGGCTGAGAAGCCCAACCTTCAGTGCCAAGCCAGGAGAAAGAGCAGTGGGAGGGTATAAAAAGAGATTTAGGCAAACTAGGACACCCACTAGTGGAGTTGTGCCTGGCAAGCACAGAAGCAAAAGGCAGAGGGGAGCTGCCCATGTGCAATTAATTCACAGAACCCTACACATGTGCAAGACAGTGTGCCTGATGTGAGCTGTCTGCTCACAAGTGCTCCATGAGCCAGCAGTGCACAATATGCTCACAGCATCTGTCCCTGCACTGCAGTGAAGAGTAACATCTCCCATGCTTTGATTCTAGAACCAAGAAAAGCAGCCTGCCCCAGGAAATGGTGACCTACAGCTTGAGGTGAGTGCTGGATTCTTCCCTGTCTGCGTGTCCCCACTGCAGGTCCGAGTCCTTCACCCACTTCCTTTCTCATGCTTTGACTCAGGGAAAATCCAACTCTGTCTCCTCTCCTTCAGTTATTTTTTAAATCTTAGGCTTTCCCATGTTCTGTATTTATTGCCCAGCTCCATTCCAAGTTAATGCATTGTCCACACCTCCTCTGTCCTCCTCCTGACTAGCCTGCCAGACCTCCCAATAACTAAGGCAAGTTTTCCTCTGGACTTCCATTTCATGCAGGAACATATGTCGGCCAATTCCCATACAGAACTTCAAGCAGTACTATGAGATGAAGACAGCAAGTGGTAACCATGCTTTTTTCCAGGAGTTTGAGGTGAGATGAGACTCCTGCTAGAGATGAGACTTAATTTCTCCTCTAAGTAGCTCATGCCCCAGCTGTTGGGTGGTCAGTATAGACTCCTCATCTCCCGGGACAGTAACCATGTCTCTAGGAATCCAACCACCCTACTAAGCAATCTTGGAGGCCAAAGATTGGATGGACTAAGTGATCAAGCAATTCCTTTGCTCAAAACCTGTTTTGTTCAAGTTCTGGTAGAAAAACATGTTGTCTGTGGTGTGAGGTGAACTAGCACTGTCATAGCTGCTGGTGGACAAAGCTAAGGGCCCCAGGCCTGGACTGGAGGCGAAGATACTGAGTGGTGTTGCAATGAGATCCACCTTGACAGTGTTAGAAAAGAGCCTGCAGCCCAAAGGAAGGTCAAGGAATACTCTCAGAGCTATAAGGCCAGGCTGTGAAATTCACCTCAGGCTACCTTCAGTGGCTCTCACTGCCAACATCTGCAGGCTCTGAATCGTTCTGCTGCCAGCACCTTTGAAAGTCCCATAAGCGATTTCAAACCCTCCTTGGATGACCCTTCTCTGGCCCTCTGAGTGAGGACAGAGGCAGAAGCAGTGCAAGATATTTCTGTTTTCTCAGCACAAAATGCTCTGAGCTTCTTGGTAGATTTCTGATTTCTGAGAAGGTTTTGTTCCCCAATACTTGTTCTTGGGCTTGTTTTCTTTTAAATACAAACAGTGCTGTTGGAAAAGGCACTGCGAAAAGACACCTACGGCTCAGAGTTCACAAGCCATGCTGAGGGAGGAGTAGAGCAGTTCCCTGTGCATGGGTGACCCTCTTGGACCACCAGACAGAGCTGTTGGCCATGAGCAGGGAGCTGGGTTGGCCAGGAGCTCTCCAGAGAGACATTTGTGCTTATCTTCTCCCCTGTCCTACAGGAGCTGAAGGAAGTTGGGAAGGAGCAGCCAAAGGTGGAGGCTGAGCTACCAGCAAATGTCTCCAAGAACAGATATCCCCATGTGCTGCCCTGTAAGTGCTGTCTCCTCCCTCCTCCTTCCAGCGTCCAGGGTGGGAGTTCACACTGCAATGCACAGGGACAGGCTCACCTTGCATCACTGCAGGGTTCACAGTGCCTGGCTGCTCTCCTGGGAGAAGAAGGAGTCTTGAAATAGGCCTCAGTTTCCATTTTCCTGCTGGACACTCAGGGCTTATGAGTTGAGCCAGGGCTGAGCCACCATCCTCCTCAGCTCCTCCAGGAGACTGCTGGGCAGGTGCTGGGTCAGCGCAGCTCAGGGGTGGGTCCCAGCTGGAGACCAAAGGGGGACCATGAGTGTCCCATGGCTTCTTTGATAAGCCTCATGATACCTGCTCTGCTTTCTGACCCCTCTGCTAACCCAGCTGGCAGGCAATGGTCACCTTTCCAGGGAGAAGGTGCCTGGCCAAGCACAGGGCCTCACTGCTAGCTGCATACATGGAGCTGCTGGGGCTTCTCCCAGTGAAGAGGGCATGACTGTCTTGGTGAAGGGCTGCCTTGGGGGGTCATGTGTGTATGCTGTCTTTCAGATGATCACTCTCGGGTCAAGCTGAGCCAGCTGGGGGAGGATCCACACTCAGACTACATCAATGCCAACTTCATGCCTGTGAGTGCCCACTTGCCTTCCCCACAGAGACATGGCCATGGGGCACCATCAGAGAAACTCTGCCTGGACTGAGATTTTGAGGGCTGGTGCCACTGCCACTGAAGCCACAGCTGGCACAGACTGGCAAGCAGTTGGGGGTCAGGCAGAGATGCATAGTTACCTTTAGCAGGGGTTGATGGAGATCGTCAGATGGCAAGTGCTGTGAATGCAGGGGTGTGAATGTGGGGAGACTGGCAAGGCTTTCTGCTTTCTTCTTGAGGACTATCCTCTTCCCATCATCTCCCAGCTTACTGCCCTGTCTGTCTGCCTGCTCTTTCTCCTTCTGGTCTGTGCAGCTGCATTTGAACAACCCTGGAGCTGTGCCCACATACCCCATCCAGGAGATTTTCCCAGGTAACAGGCAGGGCACACAGCATGCACGCACGGGTGTGTGGATCCGCGGGGCATGTGTGTGTCAAAGGGGCAAAGGCAAAGAAGCAGCCTGAGACCTTGCATGATCACCCTACCTTCAGCAATGACTGGGGAGCACAAGAAAGACCCAGATCTGTCTTCCCCTGGTTAGGCTGAATGAGGAACTGCTTGGAGGGAAATGGGGGTGACATCTTTATTCCAAATATGTAGAGAGCACATGCTGGGCAGCACATGCTTCCTGTGAAATCAGCTGCTTCTGAGATCAGCTGCCTGGGAACTGTGCCCGCATGGCCTAAGGGCAACAGGCATTTCTACCTCTACCAAAAAAGCAGACCAGGCACTGAATCTGTCTCAGGGCAGGATCCACCTGCCTCGGCAACTTGCCAACTCTTCCTGTCTGCCTCTTCCTCAGGGCTATACATCCCAGCAGGAGTTCATTGCCACCCAGGGGCCCCTGAAGAAAACAATAGAGGACTTCTGGAGGCTGGTGTGGGAGCAGAACGTCTGCAACATCATCATGCTGACAGTGTGCATGGAGAATGGGCGGGTAGGTTGGCACCACCAGGCTTCCATGTGCCAGGCTCAGCCAAGACTAGATCTGGTCGTGTGAGCTGAGCCTAGGGCTGGGTTTGTGCCCTCCACCAACCCCTGCTTGGATGTGGCTCCAGGGTGAGCACAGGCCACAAAGCTTCCCCAACAGGCAGTGTGGGGGGAACAGAGGCTGATGTGTGCAGCTCAGCGTAAGCTTGGGGTAGGAAGGGATAGAAGTGGAGCTTAGCTGGAACCATGCCCATCACACTCAGATATTTCTGCAGCATCTGAAATTACACTTGCCTCTGGATGAGACACCTCACATGGACTGTTCCTCCAGTCTCCAGGGATGATGAGACCCATACAGGTCCTTTTCTCTGGAGGAGCCTGAGATCCAAACGAAGGGGAGGTGGAGGAGAGCCATGCAGAGCTCCCAGTGGGAAGGGGAAGCACCGCTGCCTGCTCCCCAAGACCTGCCTTGGCTCCCTGCACAGCTGCTGCTCTCCAGATGCTCCCAGGGAGCCGGGAGGTCACCCAGTGGGACCTGGGCCCTCTGACCCCTCACTGGGACCCTGTCCTGCCTGTGCTCTAGGTCCTCTGTGATCATTACTGGCCATCCGAATCTGCCCCAGTCTCCTACGGGGAGGTCCGGGTCCACCTGCTAACACAGAGCAGCTCCGAGGAGTGGACCATGCGCGAGTTCAAACTGTGGCACGTGAGTAAGGACCCAAGAGGACTCAGGGACCTGTCAAGGGCTGGGGGTTTGCATGGGATTCAGTGGCTTTTCTCCTTGGTGGTGGTAGTATAATTTCCTTTCCCTGCCATTAGTGGGGTTTAAAAAAGGCGCAGTCCCCTGAGGAGCAGTCTGTCACTTCAGACTTGGTAACACAGAAGTGTCCAACATGTATCACCCCTGCTGTCCACCCTTGCTCTCTCCTGTCCACGTCCCTGCACTGGGACACAGACTGCAGCTTCAAGAGCATGTTCCCCAGCAGTCAAAGGCAGTTCTCCTCCCTACCACCTCCACGTGCCTCACAGTGGCAGGGGACTGTGAGGCAGGACAGAGGAGCAGGAGCCACCAGGCAGTGCAGCAGACCTGGCATTGGCTGTTCCCTGGAGATGAGCTGGGTGTCCCCAAGTCCCCAGGTGCTCCCAGGGCTGCGGGGTGAAAGCATGCCCCTGTCCTGGTGGGCTGCACACCAACCACCAACATCCCCCGGCAGGAGGGTCTCCGGGCAGAGCGGCATGTGTCCCACCTGCACTACACAGCGTGGCCCGACCACGGGATCCCTGAGTCTACTACTTCCATTATGACCTTCAGAGAGCTGGTCCGGGAGCACATCCAGAGCACCAAGGATGCAGGGCCGACCCTTGTGCACTGCAGGCAAGGCTCTGCTCTGGGGGATGGGAGGAGGGGATGATGGCAGAGGGTATGGGGGACAAGGGTCCTAGTCGTACACAGACTGGGAGGGGAAGCAGTGCCTGGGAAACACAGCTGGTCTGTAGAGAGTCTCCTGCTTGGGCATTGGGGATTACAGGTCTGCTTGTAGCCTGCCCCCCAGCCCCTGGGGATGGGGCAGCTGGAGATGGTCAGCACCAATCCAGGGCAGTCTGAATGGCTCCTCAGCCCCATGCTTTGCTGGGACCAGTGCCCCAGGGTTCAGCAGCAGGACAGGAGCCCATGGCTATGGGATCAGGCAATGCTTAACCCTTGCTCTCTGTGCTCTCAGCACCGGGGTAGGCCGCACTGGCACCTTCATTGCCCTGGACCGGCTGCTGCAGCAGATGAAGCAGGAGAAAGTGGTGGACACATTTGGTGTTGTTTATGCCTTGCGGATGAACCGTTACCAGATGATTCAGACGCTGGTAAGACCTCTGCTCCCTCTTCCCCCAGGCCCCTTGCTCCATGGTGTAAAAGCTAGCAGGGCTGGGAGACAGATGAGCTGACTGGCCAGCCCCAGTACCCCCAGGCTGGTCCCCAACCTGACACTGTGTCATGGTGCCTCTCAAAGCAGCAGCTCAACTAGAGTGGAAATTGCTTGGCTGTGGGGGTCTCCAGCAGCTTCATACCCTGCTAGACCCACAGCAGCAACACACAGTCTCAGAGCCCTCCCAGGAAGCTCAGAAACACCCCAGAGCACCTAGGAACAGCATCAGGCCCTTTTCGGGCAATTCTTAACCCACACCATATCATTGGCCTGTGATGCTCCACAGCCCATCTAATATTTCCAGTACTCAGGGTTCGGGCAAGGTGTCAGGACTACCCTTCAGGACAGACAGGCAGACCCAGTGCAGGGATCCAGGGGCTCTGAGATTGAAGTAGCCAGGGCTTTTTTTTGGGCATGAATGTAGGACACCCTCTGCCCACTAGGCAGTGTCGTACCCACTCTTCCATGCTGTCTGCCTTTGCCTTCCAGTCCCAGTATATTTTTCTGCACAGCTGTATACTGGACAAGATCTTGGAGGAACCACTCCTGGGTTTATCAAGGACGGAGAGGTAAGGGCCTGCTATGTTTTGCCTGCCACTCTACCCACCCTGATCCACAGCCCCTTCAGGCGGCAAGCTGGGATCCTGACCCCAGCTTGAGCCTTGGCTCCAGGACAGAAGGACAGGGAAGCCCATCCAGCCATCCTACCCAGTGTTTTGAGGGGGGCAGCTGAGGGCTGGTTGTTCCCTGCAGCATGGGGAGCCCAGCCCAGAACTAGGTGTGAGTCACTGGGCACACTAGGAGGGCTTGGGGGACCACATCCTACTTTCCTCCAGTGCCAGTTTCCTGGGCTACGCCAATGCCAAAGAGCTGCAGAGCTGTCCTGGGGAAGGCATTTCACTCAGCCCCTGGCTTTCCAACCTACAGCGATGCCCTAGAGATCAGTTCAAACTGGAGGGGCTCATGGCAGCTGGGTGGCCTTGGGATGTCCCTTCCAACGGAGGCCAAGGGGAGGAAGTAGGGTCAGGTGGGGCATGGCTTTGCCCACCTACCTCCTTGTCTCTGAGGCTACATCTGGAGGTCATATATCTATCTTTATGGTCAAATTGTCTCCTCCTTCATGCAGAACAGGATGCCTTTGTCCATGCTGTATCTTGGGAAAGGGCTCTGGACTGTGCCACACCTGAGACCTGCCTTTGTCTAGGAGAGAGCAGGTTGACACAGGCCAGAGCTGGGCTGGGGACCTGCGAGGGCCCCAGAATTTGAAGGGTGAAGGTCTGCTCACAACCCTGTCTACCTGCTGCAGACACAGCCTGGATGCTTCTGAGTTTGCTCAACCTCATCCTTATCCCCGGCTTCTCTCCCCAGGTCCTGTCCCATCCCGCTGAAAAGCTTTGCTCAGCACTATGCCCAGAAGGCGGCCAAGTCCCATGTGGGCTTCCTGAGAGAGTACGAGGTGAGAGCTGTCCTGGGCCAGGTGCAGGGAGTGCTGCCATAGCCATATGTGCTGGGGGGACCTGGGGAGTGATTGCGCCTGGTCAGGCTGGGGGACACCCAATAAGTGCCTCCTGAGTGGGTCCCATGCCCCAGTTTCCATGTGCCTGGCTGTCCTGGCAGTGTCCACTCTCCATGGCATTGCGTCCCCAGGCACATAGCTCCCTCATGCATCCTGCACTGATCAGGGTCTGTCCACAACCCGCTCCTTCCCAGACCCCATGCAGGGTAGGGACCCACCTGAATACCATTCTCCTACAGAGAGATGCAGCCATCTCCTGACAGCACGGAGCAGACCTGGCAGCCCACCCCCAGAGGTGGTCCCATAGAACCCCTGCTAAGGCTTTTGCATGTGCAGCTATAACCTCCCCTCTGCTGAGGCCAGGTGTCCCCAGGAGTCCCCAGTTCCTCCTGCTCCTCCTGACCCTTCCCCACTCACTGGTTTCTCCACTCTTTCACTCTGGCAGACCCTCCTAGAGGTTGTCAAGGAGGAAGCCAGCTCTGCAACACCATCTTCAGGCAGCCAGCAGACACGGCCCTCTTCTGGCATCCTCCCGTGTAAGTGCTGTGATGCCTTGCATCCTTTTCCTTCCTGTACCTGAGTGGAGCTAGGCTGGACCAGGGCTGGTGCTCCACAGTACAAGAATATATTTTGACACACTGCAGTGAGTCCACCAGAAGGGTACCAAGGTGTTTCGGGGGTGGAGCACATGATGTATGGGACTGAGATAGGTGGGTTTGTTCAGCCTGGAGGAGAGAAGGTGAAGGGGAGATCTTACTGCTATCTTCAGCTACCTGCTGGGATGGCACAGAGAAAATGTAGAGTCTTCTCAGAGGTGCACCATGGAAGGGCAAGAGATAATGGGTATGATTTGGAAGAGTAATCCAACTCAGTGTAAGGAAAAATACATTCCCATGAAGGTGGCCAAACACTGGAACAGGGGCCCAGAGCATCTGCAGGCTCTCCACCCTGGGAGATATGCAGCTCTCCATTGGCTAAGACACTGAGCAACCTGCACTACACGTATCTGCTTTGAGCAGGAGGTTGGGATAGAGACCTGTCTTCTGGGGACCAACATCCATGGGCTGCAGAAGAGCACTGCAGAGGGGAGCACCTTTGCAGAGAAATGGTGAATGGGGGGTTGGATTTGTGTGGCTGTGCGGAGTCTGGCAGGTGGTCTGCAGGAGCTGTGTGAGCACAAGGCTGCCCTGGATCCCTCCACCTCCCACATATTTTGCAGATGATCGCTCCAGAGTGAAATTTTCCCTGCTGGAACAGGGCCCTTTCTCAGGTCTCCTACAGGTGTGGCGTGTCCCGGTGAGTCATAACCCCAGCAGTAATGCCCACCCCTGTGCCAGGGTCCCACAGGCAGCAGGTGATGCTCCCCCTTCCTCACTGTTCCCCTGCTCCCTGCTGCCTGGTTCCTGCACTGCTCCACTGGTCACTGCTGCTGTGGACAAGAAGGGACTGTGAAGACTGAGGATGCATCTTCCCTCACCTGCTCAGTTTGGGCTGTCCTCACTTCCCTTCTGCAATGCTTTCTCTTCTCTCATTGCCTCCTGACCTGCTGAGCTTCCCTTCTTTTCCTGGCTTCTCCCGCAGCCACCTGGGCTGATGGGGTACCGGTGCCACCCTCTGCAGCAGGAGAGTGACATTCTCATTCCCCACACAGGGCTGCAGCTCCAGCAGGGAGTATCTGGCTGTCCAGGGGCCTGACAAGTTGACCATGGAGGACTTCTGGACCCTGGTGTGGGAACAGGACATTCACACCATCCTAACACTTCTCCCACGGCAGGAGAAGGGGGAGGTGAGGTGCCGTGCCTGCCTGTGCCATGGCAAAGCAGGGATCTGTTTAATGGAGTTGGAAGCTAGCATAGCTCTGAAACTTGAACTCTTTTCACTGTGTCCTGAAGCCTGAGTGCAGATCCAGCTTAGCTAAAGCTGAACCTTCCCTCTGTCAAAGTGCTCCCACAGCTTGTCGCAGGAGACAGGTTCTGTCTGCCCACCATGCAGTCCATGGCTCTGGACTCAGCTGGTACTCTTTGAGCTACATGTCCATGGCACCCAAGGACAGCAGTTCCTGCCTCTGACCAACTGAGGTGGAGGGCATTTGCTGAGCAGATTCCCACTGTGAAGCAGCTGTGTTAACAGGGAAGCTGGCTGCAATCTGCTGTTGTTTCCAAAACTCCCCCAGGGTTTAGCTAGTGGAGGAACTGACATGGAGTGATGTTGGGGGTGCTCTCGGTCCAACCCCACCACAGATCCCTAAGATGGTGACTGATCTGAAAGATGGCAACCATCAACATGAAGCCAAACTTGCTGTTGTGCACAGGTCCCAAGTGAGGCGTGCTGGCCCCTGGAAGGAGACTCTCTCTGCACAAAGATGCTGACCATCCAGTGTGGCACAGAGAAGCTTGTCTCTGGATGGAGGTGTATCCAGCTCAAAATGAAACACGTATGTGTTGATGGGGTTGGCCTGTCTCCCACTGCCTGGGATGTTCTTCACTGCTAGCAAACAGGTCTGTAGGGGCAGGGGCTGAAAGGTCCATGGAGTTTTGTCTGAGCTGCAAGACCAGAGTGTCAGCAGTCCACAAATGCAGGAGGGAATCTAGATTACAACATCCAGAACATCTGCTGAGTGGACATAGGAGAGGCACAGGAGAGGCCTTGGAGGCTTCCCCCACCACTTGCTGATAGGTCTTTCTGACCTTTGAAAAAGACCACACAGTTCTTAGTCTCCCTCTCAAGGGGCAGGTTGGGGTGCTGTGGGGAAGGAGAGCAGGTTGCCAGAGGCACCATACCCACTGTGTGGGTGATGGGCAATGCCCCAGCAGAGACTGCCTGGACAGCTTTATGGAAGCTAGCAGTTAGCTCAGGAAAGCACCTGACAGCCTAAGGATTGGAGACCTGGGACCTCTCTGCATCCAAACTCACCCATCCCTCCCCGACATCCATGTCAACTCTTTGTGTCTCACCAGGAGAAGAAAGCAAAGGAGAGGCAGGTACAATGGTTCCTATACACGCTCTGGAGCAGCAAGAAGCAGCCAGATGTCCAGAGCCTGGTGGAGCTCCTCACTGCTGTCAGACGCTGCATGCCCCACCGGAAGAGAGCCAGTCCTCTCCTGCTGCACTGCAGGTACATCACATTACTGCTCCATACATGGGCAGCCTCGGAGAGCTAGTACACATCAGGCTGCACAGTGCATTGGCATGGCCACCAGCCCTGTGCCCTCCACCAAGGACCCCAAGGTTTTGGGGCATGTTGAGAGTAGGTCCATGGGAGCCAGAGAGTCTCTGAGCTTGGGGGTCAGATGAAGCAGTGCTCTGCCAAGCATATGGGAGAAGGGAAGGCAAACAGGGCTGGGCCAGGGGCAAACATGGATGGAGCAGGCATTCCTGGGCTGAGGTGCCCAGGCTATCTTTGGGCTGACTGCTAGGATCCTGGGAGCAGCCCTGACGTCCTCATTTGCTTGCAGCCAGGGAGAGCTCACAGTCCCACAGGACCCAACACAGCTGGCACATCAGCAGAGCTGGCTTGGGGGAGGGATGCACAGCTCAGCAGGGCAGAGTAGGCTGGATCTCCAGGCTCCTTCAGTGGGCATTTTGGGGTCCCATCCTCCCAGTCAGCACAGGCCTCATTGCCACCTAGACCAGTGCTCACAGTCCTCTATCCCCACTGTACTCAGTTGCTGCATGTTTTCTCATGGTGCTTCTGACTTCTTGGGCTGGTGCCCACTTCCAAAGAGGTTCAGCTCAGCCTGGCCTGGCATCAATGACCCTCCCTTGTCCCTTGCAGTGGTGGTGTGAGCCAAATGGGGATGCTGATCTCCCTGGATTGCCTGTTGCACCAGATGAAAGCTGAGAGAATTGTGGATGTCTATGGGGTGACCCTCCAGATGACAAGAAGCTGCTGTCTCATGACCCCGACTCTGGTAGGTGGGAAAGAGGAAGGGTGGTGGGCCAGGTAGAACAGAACATTCATGTTGTGCTGCCTGGACCTGGCATCATGCTGCCCACTCCCCAGGTGCTACCTGCCACCTGGGAGCCTGTGCAGCCTATGGAGGGATTAATTCCGTGCTTCCTCCCCACCCTGCAGCTCTGCCAGCCACTGAGAGCTAAGGGCATTATCTTTTCCCAAGGAAGAGCTTTCTATCTCCTCAGTTCTGGAGTTCAAATAGGTTAAATTGCATGTGAGCTTATGATAAATGCAAGGCACTCTTCCCATTCTGCCCTGGAAAGCATGAAGCACTGATTTCATACTACATGAGAAACCTGCCTGCTCACCAGCCTCTGGACATGCCTGTCAGCCTGGGTACTCAGAATCTGCTGGATTTCCCCTTGCCTGGTGCCTTTCCCTGCCACATCGCCCACACCCAGAGCCTGCTCCCAGCCCCTGCCTGCTGCCAGAGCTGGGGCCTCCTGCAAGGGGGTCCATGGGACACTCTGCCACGTTTGCAGCTGCCATGCAGCTGTGTGGGCAGTGGCACTGTCTGATGATGCCACAGCCATGCCCTGCCATGCTGTGCCAGCCCAGCTCACAGGCCTCCAGCGTGCCACTCCTGATGGGTGCTGGTGGCGCAGATGCCCTCTGGACAGCACTTTCATTTGCTACAACCACTGAACGAGCTGATGCGGCATCCCTGGAAACCCTCCCCACAGGGGACAGCAAATTGGGGCAGATCTCTCTGGGGCTTCCCAGTTGCAGAGCCGCCTGCAAGCAGCTAATCGCATTCTTAATTAATGTGAACCATACACATGGTGGGAGCCAGAGGAGGGCAAGGCATCTGCTGCCCCTGCTTCAGAGCTTCTTTGTATTTCAGAAGCGTTCTTGCGGAGCAGAGACACAATGTGCCCATAAAGGCACAGCAAGCACCAATCAAAAGCTGCTGCTGTGCTGAGGGGGAGCAGAGGCAGCTGCCTCCCCACCTTGCTGTGAGCAGTGGTCGCTGTGGTCCCAGCACAGCCAGTGAAGGACAGGCAGAGCTGCCCTCCAGCCCCACGCCACTGCCATGTGGCTGCCAGCCTTCTCCATCACTGGCTTGCCAAGGACCCCTTTATCTCTGGCAGGAGCATGCTGCTGTCATGCTGGGGGCATCAGCTGATTTTGGGGGGGGGGGGTAGTAGCCAAACAAGGGGGAAGATGAACCTTTGAGGGATTGTCCATGGATAACCACAGGGTATTTAAGCACCTCCAGCTCCAGTGCAGCGCTTGTCTCTGGGGATGTGCTCTTGCATTTGGCCAGGCATTGAGTGTGCCTGGTCTGAAGTCAGTCCTGGGCTGTCACTCCAGATTTCACAATCAGGCCAGGCTCATTGAAAACATGCTCTGGTGACCTGAAACTTCAGCCATTGTGTGATCTGTGGCTTTCCCAGCCCTTCAGTGGGGCTAAACCCACCGCCGGCAGGGGAGGAGGCTCCTCGTGACTTGCAGCTTAGCCAGCGCATTAGTGAGCTGTTAGGAGGCCCCTCTGTCAAGTCCCTAATCCCCCCTTCCCAGCTACCATGGGATTTTGACCCACATCATTTGCAGGCTGGCCCTGCCCTCCAGCCTTGTGCATTGAGTACAACCTAATTTACCTTTCCAACATCTTGCCTTTCATGGAGCCCTACCATGGCGGTGGTCAGTCCTGGGTATTTTGTAGCCTAGCATCATTTTGGAGGAGCCTGGCATTTGAGCAGAACCTCATATCAAATTCACAGTGGACTTGAGACCTCTGGACCCACATTTGGTACTGATGGATAATTTTGGTGATCTTAAAAATAGAGAAATAATGCAACCGGACTAAAACCACCCAGATCTTTTTGTCTACCTCTTAGAGCTTGCAGAGATCTACCCTGATCCACTGTCAGCACTTGACTCAGGTACACTGAGACTACCACCAAGGGAAACTTCTGCTCCAGAAGTCTTCCCTCCTGGCCTCAGGTCACTACCAGATCCTGTGCACTCCAGCAGGGCAGAGCTCTCCCAGCTCGTTGCCCTGCAGCATCACTGGAGTTGCTCTTCAGTCTTGTTTTGAATGCAAACATCATGGCATGACCTAAAGCCACTGGGGGACTTTGAGGAAGTTAGATGACATCTCCGATGGGGTTGTTCCTCTCATGCCCATCATGGGGATGGTGAAGCAGGAGGAAACAAATGTGGTGTAACTACAGCTCCAGGCCTGATTCTTCTTTTCTGGGCAACTCTGGTAACACAGGACAAACATGGACCACTTGGGACCTTTAAAAGCAAATTGCAGGGTTAGTCCTGCAACCAGGAGGTGTCTGTCAGAAACCTGACTCCAGACCCCCCTTGCTGTCTTGCAGGACCAGTACATGTTCCTGTACACCTGTATCCGGGACATCATCGCTCAGAAACAGCCCTAACACCGCTCGGCACTTCCTGGCACTATCCTGACCTCCACCTCTGCAGGGCCCTGTCCGGAGCCAGGAGCTGGGGTGAGAGCACCATGGGGCTTCTGGCACAGAGTGAGCCCTGCAGCGAGAGGGGACTTACCCCGGCACTGTCACCAACGCGTCCCACACGGTGTTAGCAGTGACATGGGTCTCCTGAACAGGTGGGCAGTGCTGTCCTGCCATGCACTGCTGTAGCCCCTGGGTGCAGACATGGCAAGGGGCTGGGCAGGATGCTCCCCTGCTTTGGCCATCTCCTGGGATTCCTGGTGCCTGGAAGGCTTGTTAACCCCATGATGGTACGCAGCTCCAGCTGTGGGGACTCTGCGGTGCCCTTGCCCCTCAGCACAGAAGGGACAGCCCTGGGCTTGCTCCCAGACAGCCCTGGTGCCTGCAGGCTGCTGAGGTCTGACACAAGCACTGGGCACCGTGGTCTCCATGTGCCCATGGGCATTGGGCATGTTGAGGTTTCAGTCAACACTCTGGGCAGAGCATGGTGGGAGATGGCTTGTCTTGGCTGGTGGATCAGTCTTAGGTACAAACAATAAAGAGCCCTAGGAAAGAGTACTTGTAAGGGTGGGTTGGCTTTTGTGGGGTCTCAGTGATGCCGAGGCCTCCCCCTGCTGCAGCACAGCAGCTGTTCCTGAAAGGGCAACTGTGTCCCTAGCCATGGGCAGTGGATGGGGTGCCCTTGGGCACTCCAGATACTGCAGCCCATGGTACAGAGCAGCTTCTGCTCACTCTTATCTGCTTCTATTACTGAGGCAACACTTCTGCAGTAAGCCTCCAACCCATCCGCGGCTTACAAGGAAAAGACACATTTTTTGATGAAGTCTGGGCTTGAAGTTACGAACCTGCTGGCTCCCAAGAGCCAAGGACCAGGGCAAAGCCACGTGGTCCAGCTGACATGCTGGCTAGCAGCTGGCAGCCCTGTGGCTCACTGCAGAGCACTGGCTGCTGCTCTGGGAATTGGGTTGTCCATGCAGCCACATGTAGAGACACCGCTGCTCTGCAAGCAGGAATGGCCATGCACAAGCTGAAATTGCAAGTAGCAACTTGGTTCATTAAGCTCCAAGTGCAGGTCAGAAGGAAGAGTTTAAAAAAAGCAAATGATTTAATGACATATTCCTGGGGTAGAAAAAACTGTATCTGGGAACCCGCTTACCCTCCTTCACCCCTTTAGGCAGCATGGGGTTATGGTACAGTCTCAAAGCAGCACCCCTGTCCCACTCTGGGCCCACACTCCTACCCACAATACCGTGTCCTACAGGACCTCCCTTGGAGGTGGGTGAGGAGACACAACAGCTATGATGAGGAGATTCCAAAACCTACTGCAAGGAGTAGACAGCCCCAGGTGGGGGACTGAGTTGGCCACTCATCCTACTGCCCCTGTGTTTCCACAAACAGCTTCTCCCTCTTCCAAAACAAGGATCCTGCTGTCTGCACCCCAGAGTGGGACACTCAGGGCACCTAAGCATGGGCAACCATCAGCCATCCCAGCACTGGGATGATGCCTTAGTTGCAACTGGGTTTGATGCCCAGCATCTTTTCCCCCTCTCCCCAGGTAATGTTTTCCTCTTTGGCAGTTGCTGTGCCCACCCACTGCCATCCCCACCACCCACCAGTGCAGTGCAGCTGCCAGCAATGTGTTCAAGCAGGGGTGGGAACCTGCTTGTTGTCCTTTGCCCTCACTGCCCCTGCATAGACACAGATAGTGGGCAACTAGGTAGGAGCAGTCTCTCCATGCACACAATGTATCTTCCATACTGCAGGCAGGGCTTCTCTGCTGCTCAGTCCCCTCTGCCATCCTCTCCTTCCCTGCATTCCCTGCTCTGCTCCCAGCTCCAAGCTGCAGCACTCATGGGCTAAAGGAGACCAAGATGGTGCAGAGCTTTAGCCCCATACAGGGCTGGTTTCCCCCCCACTGTTTCCCCCTGCCCTGGGCACCCCGTGTGTGCAGTGCTGTCTTCATCACAGGTCAGAGTATCCTGAGTTGCCCATGACCGCCCTCATCCACCCTGACCTGGATTGTCATGGATCTAGTTGCTGTTTGAAAATGTTTCCATGTGACTACATCTTTGTCCCAGGGTCACCCACCAGCACGATGTGACAGGTCACTCACTGCTCAGCCTGCACAAGTGACCACCGCACTGACTTGTAGTGTTTCTGCTTCTGGCTGGATGACAACATACCAAGAGCTCTCCAGGAGGATGTGTGAATACTCGCAACATGGAAAAGGCCTGCAAAACTCAGTGGATATTCTTATGTGCACAAAAGGATTTATAATGTTGTCTTGGGAGGAGTCTGTCACTTGCCCATATGGTGACAGGAAGCCTGGTGGCTTTATGACTTTCATGTAACCAGTAACTCCTAAACTATGCTTGTGCTGCAGGATAAGTGTCACAGCAAGGAAATGTTTGCTCCCAGTGACCCCCAGCCCAGTAGGCAGGATTGGTGGGGTCAAGCTGTTTGCTGCTTATGAGGTGTGTGCAGTTTGTAGCAGCAGCCACCTGCCATTTTCTTCTGGGGAACCACAGGAGAACACACCAGTGCATGCTGGAGGCCTGACAAGCAAGCTGCAAAATCAAATCTGGTCCAAAGAATGACGTGCCCATTGTCTGTCCAGAGTTTTGAGTTGATAGGCTGGTGAGGTTTAGACCTGCCCAGCAGCACAGAATCTCACCAGTGTTGTGGGTTTTATCCCAAGACCCCCCAAGAAGGAGCAATCTCAAAGACCATATGGCCTGCTGCCACATGCACACACGCCCATCCTTCTTAGATCTCCACCAAAACCAACCCTGATGTCCAGCTTTCACCCTCCAGGTCCAGTCAGCCTTAAAAAGAGTTCCTGGGCTACAAGACAGTAGCCTTTCTGCCAGGACCTGCAAGTCCACTCTAACAAAGCCCTACAAGGACAGTGAAAGTGCTGATACTTCCACACTGGAGGCTGAATCCCATCCCCTTGTCAGGTCCACAGCTGACCTGCAAAGCACATGAAGGCAGAGGTCCCTGCGCAGGAATGAGAGGGAGCTGCTGATGTAGGAAGAAGACTGGTGCTCATTCCCTCAAACAGGGGGGAGGTGAACCAGACCTGGATCCAACTCCAGCATCTCCCTGCTGGTGCTGTGGACACAGCCTGTGGCTCTCATTTGCTATGCATGGCCCTGAAACTCCAGATGCTGAGCACGGTTACAACTCTAAGGTATGCGTAGATGTGAGCTTTAGCATGGTGCCCAACAGGCTTTTGTTCAAAGTGTGCAGTCTCCACTGAACACCGACAAGCGTTTGTACCTGTATGTCCCAGCATGGTTTATAATGTGTAAAACACCTAATGCTTTTAGTCTCAGAGGATTTCAAGAACATCTGTGGAGCACCCTGATCTGCAAAGTGGGGCCAATCACAGCGACAGTGAAGATGTGAAGGAGGAGCCATTGCCATGAGGTAGCAGGAGCCTTGTGAGGGGCACAGAAGCAGGATTACCAGAGGTTTTGCTTTCTAGACCCTGGCAGCCAGTGTGTGGGGCTTGTACTTCTGGCTTCCTACCCTGGATGGGTGGTCACTGCCCCTTTGGCTGTGCATCACCCCACAGTAGCCTCGGGTTCTGCAGAGACAAGCCCTCCCTTGCTTTGCCAAGTGCAGCTACCAGGGTCTCCCAACAGCCTGGCCAGGACTGCATCCTCAGAAAGGGGCAGCTGCCAAGGATAAGGAGGGGAAGGAACCCCCAATCCTCTCTTTTCTATTTTTCTGCAATCAGAGCTACCCTGTGGTTTTCAGAGTCATTATGCTTGGGGCTTTGCTCAAAGCCATATTCCCGATGGAGAGGGTCTGGGTCTGGCTGTACAGCTTATGGCACAGGAAAGAGGCCTCAGAATGGGAGAACATTCCCAGGGACTGCTTGTGGGTGCTTGCCTTTCGTGGAGAAGAGCAGGACAACATCCACATGAGACAACCTGGCCACCCCCCAGTTCACCCTTAGCTGATGGCAGCGACTGAGCAAGATGGGGAGTGAGTTCTGCTGGCACCTGCCCCACACCACCTCTTGTCCCAACTGGGCTCATCACTGTTCAGCACATCTCTGTCCATCTGCCTTGCCAGGTGGGCTGCTGTACCAGATCTTTCTACAGCCTCTTGGGGAAGTGCTTATGGGTCTCCTGTGTGTCCATGCACAGAGATGGCAGTCCCAGCATGGAGCACAGCTACACACAGCCAGAGAAGTCTGATGCATGGACCCAGGGCTCATGGCACAGAGTTGCAAGGGTTGCTGGCTCCAAGTCATAAGGAAGCAAGCGAAAGCCATGGTGGGGGAGGTATGTTGCTGTCTGCAGAGCTTCCAGAAGTCCAGGGGCAAGTGATCCCACAGCCCTCGCATCCGGCTAGCACAACACAACAGTGTTTCCAGCAGAGCCAGCAGGCAAGGTGAACCTGCAGACATCTGCAGCTAAAGCACAGCTGCTCTGGCAGGTATGACAGAACCTTCTCACCAATTGGACAGGCATGGGACAGGGATATGTCACACAAACTGGCTGATGGGTTTCACCCAGTGAGTTCAGTATGGCTGCGTCTGTGGCACAGCCCGCTGCTCCACATTTCACGTCCTGTCTAACAGGAGGCTGACTTGGTGACGATGATGAATTTACAACCTCCCACCCACTGCTGCAGTGGAGTCTGGAGCCACAGATGCTTACAGAGGGTGTCGTGGGAGCTGCGGTTTGGATGAATAATTTTCCAGCCCTGCAGCTCAGAGCCACGAAACCCAGAGGGGGAGAGATAGACAACAAAACAGTAAAACAAAACAAGCCTCCAGCTTGGGCCGCCCAGTGAGTTCTAGACTTGTTGCCATGTTGTTCTTCATATTTAGCCTGCTCCAGTCTGGCAGCATCCAGCCACCACCCTCCTCCATCAGTCCCCATGCAGAGGTCAAGACCCTGAAGATGAGCAGGATCATGTCCATTTGGTCTCCATTTTCCACCCCCCTACCCCCACTTCTGTGGCTGCCAGAGCAGGGGCAG